GTTGGGTCATACATTATGCTACTATCAATCTTAAAACTACATGTATCAATATCTTTGTATTAAAATTGGATCCAATTACTATGTGTAATGTGAAAGGAGTCACTTAAAGTAACAAACATGGTCAGCTTTATGGAGAGTTTTAGTCTTACAGCTCATTATTTTGACTTCATGACCCGCAACTTTACTGTTTTGGTTGAGTACATCCACTCTCATCAACCTTGTTTCCAGCAGCAGCAGGCTGCTAATTTAATTGAAAAAGCTCTAACTATTATGCTGTCTTCCCAGCACCAAACAACAGACAGACAAAGTTAGCAACTAGCTGGTGAAATGGAGCATTTAATTGCCACGAAGCCATCAAGAGTTTGTGGAGACCAAAACAGAGCTTAAAGGAGAGTTGTCTACATTTGCCATAATAACCTCTTAAGTTCATATGTCAGGGTTGTGTTTAAAGCCTGTTCCACGGCCCCTAAGTAGCAAAAAATAAAAATAAAGATAAGATTGTTGAATTAAAGATATTTAAATATGATACTTTAGTTCAATAGCTGTGCATGCTGCTGTGTTAAAGCAATAATCTGTGGTTTTAGTTTTAAAGAAATAAAGAAATATTTATTTATATTTTATTTTCGAGATTCTTCTTACAAATAAAAGCTTAAATTCATAAGCAACGCAACATGTCTTCGCTCATTTTATACACTCAAGGATTTTGACACTACAGCTTTACTGGGTCTGGTATGACCGGTAGCTTATGGTGGCTTCATGAGTCCTCCATTACTCAACACTCAATTTTAGCATGTTACATTTCACAAAGAAAAGACAATATAGAACAATAGGAAATCCTAGTGAGTTAGACCAAGGTGATTCATGCAGTAACCATTCTGACGCTCAGAGCTTTTATCTGTACTAGACCTGTTATAATCCTTTGTTTAAACAGTGCTGTGTATTTAGGTTATTCTTTATTCTTTATTTGGATCCCCACTTGCTGCTGCTAAGGTAGTTTTTTTGGCTTGTGTTCACAGCGTCTACCTGGGACAGAAGTCCGTTTTGAATGGGTCAAGCACAGGTTAAATGTGTGTTCATTATCACGCATGAAATGCAGCGTTCATATGTTAAAGTGGTATCAACTAACAATAGCTGGTGGGTGACCAGTTTGACCAATGTTTTTACAAAGCCCGTCATTTTTGAGGGGATGTGGGCAACATCTAATATGACTGTGTTGGCCTTGTTCGAAGACCTTAATAATGCTGAACTTATTTTTAACGTATTATTTGTTATTACTCAGCCATTTTTACGTTGGCATTGTGCAGTTTTATCGTACAGCTGAAATTGACTTTTTTCCCCACAGTCCCTTTATAACCAACTGCAAGTTTATTTTCGATAATATTGGCACAGAATTCATAATGAGTTTGGTGTCATAACAAAAAACTATTATTTCTTAAAATTGTTATGCATATTGGATATGTTGTTTTTTTCACCTTCTGTTTCTCACACTCTCCTGTTCCTCACTATCTGGCTCTCCCATTCTGAGGAGGTGATTACGGAGCCAGAAAACTAGCAGGATATGGTTAGTGGTCCTGAGGGGTTGGTCTGAGGACATTAAGCCCACAGCGACAACGAGCCCCAGCTGTTGGAGTTTTTTTTCACATTCATTTGTTTGTCAAATTTAGAGTCACTACCATTGCCAAGAACCCCCTCTGCCACTCAGGCACTCCAGAACCGTGGTGACAAGGCTGCTTTTAGCCAAATCCAATTTAATCTCCATTGGCGGTAGTGGATAAAGCTGTCTCCATCTCCTCCAACTGAGGCCAAGGAAGGCTAGGCACTCCACTGGGAGCTGCTCATTCAGCACACATAATGACATAATGCACACTCAAACACAAATTGACACACAAACACACACATATACAGACTATAGAGGAAGAGCGAGCACTAAAAAAAGTCTGACTTGCACAATCGTATGTGCATAGGTAGTCTTTTCTTCCACTCCGCTCTCTACCTTTTTCCTCTCCCCGTTGTGTGTTTCTGCAGAGAGGGAAATGATGTAACGGTTATGGAAGAAAGATAATGAAATGAAAAAAAGAGAGACACATCTGAGATTCGTGCTCCTAGCCTGCAGCTCCTCCGCTTCCTTTTTTTTCTTTCTTTAAACTTAAAGCTATCAGGAAACTGTGTGCGTGTGTGTGTGTGTGTGTGTGTGCGTGTGTGTGTGCCTGCAGATCGTTGGGTGGATGGGGAAGTGCGGGGGAGTGACACTACAGCCTGAGATGCACATTTATGCAAATTTCAAATCTTAACCCACAGGTTCACATGACAACATTTGCTGAACATTTGCAACAATGCTGTTTAATCACAAGTGCTTGTAGAGCAATTAAACAGGTGATTTCAGAATCATTCTGCATTAGTTTAACTGCAAAGATCTACTCAATATTTAGCATTGATTTCCCTGCATGGGTACGACTGGCAGATGTGCTTCTTATGCCAATGCCAGTTCTGAACTGGCAGGAGAAAAAAAAAACAAGATTGAAAAAAGTATCTAATTAACATCCGAATGTGCCACCAGCAGAATTGTTTTTTTTCAGCTCATTGCTCCCAAATGACCTCTGCTCTGCTATTCAACATACATGACCACTCACTTATTTAACATCTTGTACTTTTACTCTGGAGGGATTGGGGATGAGGTTGAACAAGGTGCTTTGATTATTGATTAGTTGTCATAAACATGTAATTGTAATATAATTTTAAAAACAGAAGATTGTGGAGACTGCTGTTAATTTACTGTGCACAACCATTTTACATCACGAGTATTCCTTCTGTGAATACTTCAAGTACATTTACATAATATATCATTTTTGATCATAACAAATATCAAAGGATTATTTTTGCTCCTGTATGAACAAATAGGTTTTCTTTTTTATTAAAAAAAATGTTATACTACTTCATGGCATTACATTTTTTTTTACATACAAAACACATGTTTATACTATAAAATGTATGTAAAGTAGTTAACATTATCTCAATTTGAACCAATTATAACAATGAAAAACTGCTTAAGGCATCAGTAATATAATCTACTCTTTGCATTACAATAATGCTCTGAATGGGGCAATTCCTCATGATGAGCACCCCTTCTGTGGATAGTACATTTAGCTGATAATACTTCTGGCTGTTCCTTAAAGGCACCCTGGGGGGTTTCTAACCACTAGTGGGGCTATGGAGCGATGTTTCGACAAGTGACCCCGTTTTCTTGGCACAAATGTATCAAATCTATAAATGTCGATTCTTCTGTCAATGTGTTGTGAAATTTAAATTATACAGGTATGTTTGGTTTACTGGCAGAAAAATCAAAGGTGTTTCAATTCCACCGCATCTCCAGTGTATGAGACAGTACCCTAGTCCACATAATGAACTTGTATAAGATGTTACAGGATATAACCTGCTGTGTCTGGCCTGCTAGGATGTATCCAAAGCTTTTTCCATCACCCATATCCCTTCTACCAGGACACCTTTTATCTCAGCGTAGTGACATCTCTCTTCATGCAGCTCCGAGTCCCAGTGCATTAATGTCTCACTGTCCGTTCTTAGAAGTCTTTTGTGATACTATGAGTAGTTACTGTCAGCAGAACATCGGCCGCTTTCATGAAAACTAAACAAACAGGAAATTATGTAGTAATGACAGCGATTTTAGTTCACGCCTTGGGCCAAGTGATGTGAGAGAGCCGGTCTTAGCTATACAAGGATATGTGCGACTGCGAGAACATTATGGTGCTCATTATGTACGCTTAAGAGAGGGTTATTTGCTTTTGTCGCTGTAAGCTTAGTGTTGTCTGCGTAAAGAACAAGTGTGTGTTTATGTGTGTGTGTAGCCGTTGCAGTAGCAGCTACAGCAGTTGAAGATCATTAATTACGGGTGTTTCCCTACTTTCCTCCAGGACTGATAGTACACTGCAGAGATACTGGCTCATTGGAGTAAATGGCATTAGTACTTTGTTCGGCTAGTGCCCTGGGGTCTTGTTTCTAAGCCTTTTTTTGTTTCAAGTGGCAGCCTTGCGTGAAGCTCCCTTACACTGAGCCTATTTCTCAAGCCCTTATCCCCCACTATGGAATTCGCCACCAGTGTATTAATCTCCAAATGGAGAGAGGAAGACGACCAAGGGTAAGAGCAAGAATAGTCCAACAAGGCTTTATGAGTAGCCAGTTAGCGTCAGCGTTCATCAAGCCGCGTAGCATTTCGACAGGCAAGACAAGCACGGCAGGGCATTAAGCTAACAAGCTGAATGAGACAAACAGCATGGTTGGTAACAGGGAGGGACAAGTGGTTAGCGCGTGGCTAAGGGTACACTCTGGCTGAGACTCCCAATGCAGCATTAGGGAGGAGTGTCGCCACACTCATTAGCATGTCAGCCTGGATAGAGTCAGAACTGAGTGTGCTGCCGGGGCCTGAGTCTGCCGAGAGAGGCCCACACAGGAAGCTGCTCCTCCAATATGAAAGGCACGCTACAGTCTGTAACTCCTTGTGATTCCTGCTTGGTTCTTTTTTTTCTTCTCCACCAATTTGTACTCCTCCTCCTAATCATATCCCGTATCCGCTCTCTAAATCATCTCATCCCAAACCTCTTCACTAATCATGTAAGTTGGAGAGGAATAAATGCTTAACAGATGCTAGTATTGTCAGGGGTCGGTTACATGCAACTGCGCTTTTACAGCTCGGTGGAACTGAGCGTTTTTTGGGGCGGGTTACCTAAGATGACTCGTTCCTCCCTTCCGTTTAATCCCCCACCGCTTGTGTCCCACTGTATGTTGGGTTGTGGACAGATGGAAGTGTCCTTATTGTCTCACAAGGTTCGAGGGTGGAGAGTGGACAGACAGCTGTGGGTAGTTTTTCTGCCCTGAACTTGTACTGCAGTATGCTTTTGCAGCTGAATAGTGAGTTTAATTTGCCCACATCACAGTTTCTGGCGTTTTTATATCCCTAATTACATTGCATTAGGAAATTATATGCTAAAATGAATGTGCTAAATGATGAGTTGCGGAATGAGATTTCCACCAATTTAAATATGAACACCAACTCTCCGTATGGTCAGTCGAGAAATATTTTAGGATAGTATTAAAATTTTGTGAAAATATATCGGCCAGCAAAAGACATTTACTTATGAAGTAATAATTATGTATTTGAGTCAGAGTCAGTGCTTTTCAAAATATTGCTGATTCATTTTAGATAACTTTCTTTTTCAAAGTGTATATGTGTCTAAAAGATTTTCTAACATTTAAACATTTAATAATACTGAATTGTAAATTAATTCCAATATTTTCCCATAGCAAGGAAGTAAGAGTGAGAATGAGGGCAATTACCTGTTTAGCGGCCCACCGTCACCTGTTTACGGTTGGTCATCTACTTGCCACTGCATTTGAATTATTGCTGCTCGCTCTGGCTAATTTGGTTAGGATGAAAATTGAGTGTCACTTTGAATCAAAGTGGAGTGATAGTGATTGCTTACTGCTTCTGCCATAACTACTGAATCTATTTTCTCCAAAATGTCATTTTTCCTGTTAATATCAAGTCAGGATAGTGTGACTGGGGCCAAGGTACATCAGATAAGGTCTACATGTACTGTAGAGGGTCAAATACATACATGAGTCAAAATGACAAATATAAAAAAAAGATGATAATATCATAATAATAATTATGATAATAATACTGCATGCAACTTAAATCTCAGTCTCAGTTTAGATGAATTTAAGGCTCAGTCTGTAGTTTTTTTGATCACATAACTCACACATATTTGATGCATATTCACATACATGAATAAACCAGTTAGTTCATTTATGAAAATATAGGCCCATTTTATTCTTATTTTTACAAACAATACAGCTCAACAGCATCACGAAACAGTAACTTGGTAGATGTGCTGGCACTGCATTAAAATACCTGTCTATTGATCTGAGTGTGATAGGTTTACTTTATGTTGATTCGTTTGTAATGTTTTGATTTTTGGTGGTGGGATGACCTCTTTCTGTTATCAATTGTGCCTTTAAGCCAATCTGAGTGCTCGGGCGTGCTCAGGTTGCATAGTAATGCGATGTGCTTACATTACTTTGTACTGCAAACTAGAAGCATCCCTTTTCAGTTCTTTTTGTGCTACCAAACTTACATGCATAGACCTTTTTCACAACAGGTGTTAACAATGGTACTAATTTTAGGTTCCCTTAGGTGTCATTGGTAACAACCTGTTACAACTATTTTATGTCAAAATGGCTGTTGTGAGAAAGGTCTATTTCATTTTATTGTTCATGTTGGTTAGTAAAACAGTGCTTGACAACACCCTTGGCAACACAATCCCTACCAGTAGCACATTTCTGTGAAAGTGCCACTTTCACAAGTTAGTTCTAATAAAATCTACATAACATTGTTAGGCGGTGAATCACTTTACCAAAGTACCTTTCCTTGACTTTGTATTTGATATACGAGGTGTTTGAAAAGCTAAACCAAAGTGAATGCTATAAAAGCGAAATATGTATCAATTATTTATTTATTTATTTTCTTGTTCAAATACTTCTTGTTTGCTGTGTGCGCTACAAACGTGACCACAGTGCTCGTTTTCAGTAAGACAGCCTCTTAATCAATACACCATCTGTTGTGCTAAACTACTCATTCCTTCAGAAATGACCCGAATGCTAACACACCATGTTTCTTTTTTTATTTTTTTTCATCCACAGCCTCACCGACTGTCCGCATTATACACTCAGGACATGCCTGTAATGTTGAGGAGGAGAGACACACGGAGAGAGTCTACACCATCAGAGAGGGAGAAACCCTGGAGCTCACCTGTCTGGTGACAGGACATCCTCGACCACAGGTAAGGAATCATGGGACGTGGTGCTAATTTTATACCCTATATCTCTCCTGTCTGTTTCTCCTTTTCCCGCTCTTCTTCAGCGGCTTTTCTTTTAATTCTGTATTAGCGTCATTGAGTGGCACACCACGTACCTCTGCACTAAACCAGCTTAAAAGTTTAATCCTTTAATTATTGATGGTTTAGGTTGCATTGTGCACCTGCATGTTGATAATGAAAGCTTCCGAGGCTAATGAGAATGCAGAAACAGAACAGCGGAAACATCTGCCAAAACAAAACTGTAACGAGTGAGAAGCAGGCCAGTAAAAAGGACTCTGGGTCGTGTACATAATACACATGGGTCCTTGGTATCTGAAAAACTTTTTTTTTTCTTCTCCCGGCTCTTTTATTTTCTGTTGTGATCTAAAATAATTAACAAACACCTTTTCCTGAAGATACAGGCCTTTAATTTGGTCTTGTTGTGCCTTCTGCTTATTGCTTTTCTCATAGATAAAAAAAAGAAAGTTGATAAAAATAAGAAACAAGATCCCATCTACTCGTTTAGACAAAATACCAACTAACTTGATCCACGCAGGTATAAATGTCAGCTCTGCCACAAACTACCTGACCGTTACATTTTGTTCTGATATTAATCTGGGCAGGATTTGCACACACTAACCTTTCGAACGTTTATCGAATGCTTTTTCCAATTTGCTTCATAACACAGATTGCCCAGAATTCGGCGCCATCTCTGGACTGGCTGAGCTCATTTACATTAATTAATTTAATTCCCCTTTTGATCGATAGACAGGGCCATTAGTTTGTACACTTCCCCTCTGGATGCCAAAGCAAAGGAGCATATTGATTTTTATATTTCAATTGAAAAGGTGAGGCCTCTTAAATTAGCGAGAGGTTCAGACACACGGTTCATCTCCTTCTGTCGTCAGGGGGGACAACTTCACACTCATCATCTCTGTCTTTCCTCTTAATTAGAATTTCTGAAAAACAGAGCAGAGCGAGGGGAGGAGAGGAGCAGAGAGTGGGAGATCAAAAGCCCTGCATGACTGTGGCAGGAGAGGCAGGATCTCCTTTGAAACAGAGTCATTATGAGACTCACGCAGATCCCCTGGCACAGTGGGTCTCTGCTGTGTCTCTCCGGACTTTGGGATGTGTCAGCTCTGTCCCCCTGCATGGGACCTGCGGGGCAGCGCACACTCATTCTGAGTGGTTTCGGAAGCAGAGGAGGTTATCTGGGGTGGCAGTAGACCTAAGGCTGGTTTTTGTGATGTTGGTGGAAAAACACTAGAGTATGCGACCTCATCGGAAACAGGCTTGCAAAGTTAATACAGGAATACCAGCTCATCTTTTCATTAGAATTAAATATTAATCCTCAGAACATGTTCGGAAGTCTTTCTTCGCCCCAAAGTTCCACATTTTAATTGAATTGAGTTTCTTCATCTTTAAAGAGCACATGTGGGGAAAAAAATTGTCAGTACTCTTTGCGAAAGTTGTAGTGCATATTTAGTGTGTCTTGTTTTGATTCATGTTTTATAATTAAACCATAATGTTGATAATGTCTAATTATTAGGGATAGTTGTGTTGTATGTGCCCGTATTTCTCTTTCTATGTCATATACACGCATGCGCACACTACAATACTGTGCTTACCCATAACACACAGACCTTGATACTGCAACATGTTTTATATATGTATTTGCTTGTATAACTTCCAAAAAACGGGACCTATTATTATATAGTATTTCATTTCAGATTGGACTGCTTTCAGTCTGTTGAGCTGATAAAAACAACAGTAATGATCAATGTCAGCTTGCAGTTCACCCTTCTCCTAATAAAATGAATGAATGCATGGCAAAAAATAAATTAATTGGGCATGCTGTGTACACTAATAACTCAACTCCTGATCTACTTGCGAAGAACGGGAGTGGTAGTTAATTATTTTAGTAGTTAATAATTATTAAATTAAACTTGATTACATTCTTAATAACTAAGCTGTTACTGACACTTCTCTGAAAAAAAAGACCTGATATCCTCCATGTTTTGGATGTTAAAATCACATTTGAGCAGTGAATACAAATTTACAAAAGATTACTGCTCCATCAGTGCTTCCCTCGGACCACATTGTTCAAAACACATCGCTTTCTATGCAGCTTAAGCCCCTAAGATTAATGTGAACGTAGTTCTCCTATCTGTGGATTCATTCAGAATTTTGTTTCCTTGAACAACCTCCATATCAACAGTAACTTAAACCACACTCTCCATCTGCACCACAATATCACAGGGGGCCAAGTCACACTACTCGATCACTGTGAATGGCTTCAATTAGTTCTGCATTAGCAAATCACAAAATTGCTTTTTTCACCATTACTGTCCAGATTTCAGTCTCTTTCCCTGACTTTGAGATCCTACTGGCTCCCATGATAATACATAGACCGAGGGGTGTTGTGCCAAGTACAACATCAGCACCACAAAGGACCAACCACTGAGTAAATGGGGCCACGGTTGGCAATTTCGCCACAGTTTAATTCTTCGCATGTCTATCAATATGCACACTTCTTAAATTACATAGACGCCCCTCAGGCCTTCCCACTGATGGAGTCTCTGGATTGTGTCCAACGCAGCAGCAGCTTCCTCACAGTGGGCCTCTCTGTCAGCCCCGTGCACATCCGCCCACCCACCTCGGAGAAAAACAGAGGCTTTCTAATAATAAAACCGTACATGCATCCAACCTCACACACACAAAGACACACGTGGCAGCGGCAACACTTGTCTGCCTTCCCATTTAATTGTCAAATAAATATATGTTCCTGTCAGTCACCAGCACACCGGATAATATGTGCTTTTTCCCTGTGCCTCGTGGGTTTGGCATTTCAAGGTGCTACTGTGTGCTGCAGAGGAAGACTGGGACTGTTGGCATCTGGCAGGCTCGAGGGGCAATGAAGTCAAATTCTCATAGATGTATAGTGCAGAGGTCACTGGAAGGATTTGTGGAACTTGGCTGTCTGAGGAGAAGGATAAGACAGAAAATCTTACTTGTGGCCAGTGCTTTTCCCTCGCTCTGCTTTCTCTCTTTGCAAAACACAAGCACGTCCATTTTCTCGCTCTGTCTTTTCCTTCTGTGTATTGCTGGAATGAACATTTGTCAATAAATAGAGAATAACAAAACAAAAATAACAATCAATAAATCTTTCATGCCATTTCTCAAACAACAAGACACAAGTTCTACGGCCATGCAGCTCTGTGAGGCGGTACTAAATAGCCAGTGTGCTGCTAAATGCTCAAGTCAGCATGCTCACAGTGACAATGCTAACATGCTGATGTTTAGCATGTAATGTTTACCATGTTTGCCATTGTAGTTTAGCCAATTAGCATGCTAACATTTGCTAATTAGGACTGAAAATACAATACAGCTGAGGCTGTTGGACATGTCATTAGTTTGGCAGGTATTTGGCCTTAAACCAAGCTATTTGAAAAATGTAAATCTTGACCTGACGATGATGCCAGATGTTACTTCAATCGGTCCTGTGGGGAACATGAACGTTGCGACCAAATTTCATGGCAATCTGTTAGTCAGACAAATCAAGTAATTAAACAAATGTCACCTTCAGCTCTGGGAACTTGTGATGAGAACTTTTAAATTTTTTGGACGTATTATAGATTAAAGGATTCATTGATTAGGTGGGAAATGATTTGATCAATTAATTGACAAAAAAAAATGACTTTCCTTTTGATCTTTTTGTCTGTGTATCTCTAAATTGGCTCTCTGTCAAAAAGCATGAGACACATGATGCCGATGCCTCTTTCTACGCTCAATGAACATGAAGTCAATCTACTACAATTTTGATCACTGGTTTTTTTTTTCTTGTTTTATATCAATGGAAATTGAATATCAATGCAATGAAGATGTCACTTGGGGATTCTGGCGACATCAACATTTTTCACTATTTCCTTGACATTTTTATAGATTACAGGATTAAACAGTTCATCTGAAAAGTAATAAATATTGAAAGTGAATATGAGCTTTGCCTCCATTACATATAAAGTGTTCTTTCCCTTTGTCTTAAACACTGTCTCACTGTCTCTTTGTCTCTGTATCAGAACACCACATACATACATGTACAGCTTTATCTCTTTGAGCTTTCATGGTCAGTGTTCCCAAGCTTCGTTCATTGTCTTTGATGCTGTGAATAGACATCAAAGAGTCCCTGATGATGAAGCCATCTGCCCCCGTCTCCCCTGCCCTGGCCTCCATCCATTATGTCCACACTACTTTGTTTGAGTACCAGGCTCCAATAGCCAGCAACACCACATTGCAAACACCTTTTTTTGTTTCAATTATTGGCTGGCCAGATTCAACTCGCAGCGCCACGGGTCAGCGAGTACAAATAAGCTGACCTCAGGCCCCAGGACATTTCGCTTTATACAGACCAATTGGAGTATGTGATCTGTTTTGGATGCTCCCATGACAGTTAGCCTACAGTGCTGGTGTTGTTGGCAGATGGTGCTTTTTTGAACATGATTTAACCTTCTATTTTTTTTTTGTTTGCCATACAGACTGCAGTTGTAGTAAGGGCACCATCTCAGAGTTTCTCCTTGAACTACACCTCGCCCAATGACTTTAACTGCAGCCCTCAAAAATACTGCATGTAGTTCAACACCAAGGCGAATTAAAGCAGATGAATTTCTTTTGTATGTTTGTCAGTGTGTATTTCTAATTCAATTCTTATTTCTGTTTTCTAATTCCAATTACAAAGACTTCAGTGCAGCGTGTTTTATATTGTCTTTCAGTTGTTTTTTTAAGAGGGTCAGAATTTTTCATTATAGACCTGTAGAGTCTGTGCACTCGTAATTTGTGATATGGACCCCCTGTTGCTTCTTCTGATCGCTTGATTGTCATGCTCAGCCACACTTGGCTGCACCACTGAGCGGCACAGACCACCATCAGTGCCTAAAAGAAAAGATGGCAAGCAATTAGAAACCAGTCTGTAGTTAGGGAGAGCGAAACGTCACAGCAGGCATTATGGGAGATTCACCGAAGACGCGTGCTCCAGCATATGATCCCTGCATAACAACAGACACTGGGCGCATTTTAATTAGCTCTTGCCGTGACACCGCAGCATGTGTGGTCTCAAACACTGCTGGGATTTTCAGTTGGATACTAATCTAGACGAGCTTTTACTTTCCTTGTAAGCAAATGTTGATCTTTCTATTGGGATGTCAGATTTTTTTAATGGTGTTATTATTATTATATGACTTTTTGCTTTTGCTTTTCCCCGTGGAACAAAGTGTTGTCATGTTTTTGATGCTTTTTTAAAAAATAGAATATGCAAAATGTTAATGCACAACCCCTTTTTTGCAAACTATGTGAGGTGAAATATGAAAACCAGTCCCCATTTACATTTCATGCTAATAATATATGCACGCAATTGCAAGGGACAGACAGGAATAAATACATTTCTACTAACAGCAGCTGGGTGGTGCATTTTGGGCAGTTTGACTTATTCCCCAGTGTATACTTGAAGGCACCTTGAGTTTCAGCTGAGCAATGTGAAAGGAGCCGCAAAAATAGGCAAAAAAAATGGCTGTCACTGGGCAAGGGGGAGCAATTATCATATTGCTCAAATCCGCCAGCTCCTCTCAGATCAAGAGTATTTGCATTGCACTAAGGAGAGTGAAGAGGGTCAAACTGTTCGCACCAGGCATACTTCAGGACTCCCCCTGTGGGTAGAGGTGCTCAGATGTAAGAAGTCAAAGAAGTGGAAGAAGGAAAATAGCTCCAGGGTACAGGGAGAGTTGAAAGCTCACCAATAATGTGGTCTGCTGCCCCCATGAAACAAACAGGAGCACTTTTCTTTTGAAAATATCAAGAGTTATTTCAATACCCACTTCTTAGTGTCACTCTAACAATACACTTATTGATACCGCGCTTTCCTAAAACTCAAAGCTCTTTACACAAAAGGCAAAGGAAATGACTGGGGGTATAAGCTGGGAGAATATTGAATTCTGCTGAGGTCGCCATAAGCCAGCTTGCTTTGTATTTGCATGAGGGGATACAGAGTACTGTAGCAGAGTGAATTCACAAACTTTGCCCCATCTAATTTATAATCATAACTTATTTAACTTTAGGGCTTGTTTTGCTGAACTCATGATGTCCCTAACTGTTATAATAGGGCCCCAGATTTTCTAACTGTGCTGCTTTAGCATCGATCAGTTGCTGAGTTTGGGCTTTTTCATGGAGTGCTTTCTCTCAGTGTCTCTTGATGCATTTGAAACAGGCCAAGTGTAGCCCTTTCTGTGCAGTGTATTCATTAAAAGGCATTTATTTTTAATGGTAATATATCGACTTAAAGGCTGTATAAAGGGATGGGGGAGAGAAACAGTCTGGCCACAGACTTTCTCTTTTTTTTTCAAAGAAAGAGATCGGTGAAAGGGAGCTACAGCACACACACAGTCTTTGAGTTTCATTTCAGTAGCTAATTTATTTCTGCCACTCTGAACAGTAACACCCCAAGCAAGAGAGAGAATCTGAAACTCCTCTGATAAACTTTTGCTGCATGTGAATTCCTGTCCTTGTCATCCTCTAGCCCCGAGCTAAAAAAAAAGCCAGTGGAATAGAGCACCATTATCAGGTTTTGGGCCACCCACCCTTTCATTTCCCTTTTCCTGTCTGTTTGGAAAATGACCAAACTTCAAGCTGTCGTCACCTCAGGCTGGAGTTGTCATGGGGAAAACCCCACAGCTAGAGCAGCACAGCGGCAATCTCCCAAGATAGCACCCAATCCCCATCCCTCCATGCGATGATATCCCTGTTCCATCTGATGCTATCTCTGCAAAATGGGATGTTATCAGTATCCAAGATGATGCCACACCATACAGTGTGCAGATATTGGATTCTAATTCATAGCCTCCCCTGCCGAGACATAGATATGTGAAGCTCTGCAGGCAAAGCCAGTCCATCTGTGGCTTACTTAGGATGAGGGATTGAATGAAGCTTTATGCTCCGTAGTTCTGGCTGTGTGGCCCCCAGGCCAGAGTTGTCACAGTACCTGTTCATGCTGTATGCTTTAATGAGGACAGGAGAGGGAGATGATGGAGAGTCAATTATAACCTCATGTTGGAAAGTAACACTATTTCACCTTTCATTACACCTTAATGCCATGGGCTAACTGGGTCTCATCAGTTAGTGAAAGGTACTCGTGCTGAGAAGGCCACGCTGAGGTCAGTCTTGTGTGGAACAGAGGAAAGAGGAAAGTTAGAGGAAGATTTTTAGCTTTCAAATCCTCCTTTGTTCTGTGACATTTCACAAAAGAATAGGATTCGTCATCTGTCGTCTGCATATTGCATAAAATACAGAATTTTATGAAGAATACAGTAGAATATAGCAAACACAATACCCTAGTTTAAATCGCTAAATTAATCTTTTAATTTTAATATTTGAAAAAAGGTCATATTAGAAATACCTTTATTTTCTATTATTATATTATTTATATTATTATTTATTATATTTTCTCTGTTTTATAGCTGTGTTTAATTATATTTTTGCATGTTTTCTGATCCAGGAAGTCACTTTGGCTGGCAGCTATGTTTGTTGATGTTGTTTGCTGTTCATGCAAACTCAATCCCTTAATAAAATAAGTTGCTCTGAGGTTTTTTTGAGATTTAATTCACCAGTTATTTCCAGTGGTTTCCAGTTTGTTTGTTTTTTTAATCAGCGTTAAGGCTGCTCTCAATGAGGCCAACACTTTCTGCAAAGACACATTAAAGGCATGACCCACCCTTCTCTAGTATGCCTTTAGTTTGACAAATGTGAAGGAAGTGATGAGTTTCACTAACAATAGCTTTACAGCGATTGGAAGAAACCGAAAACCTCTGTTGAATAGAGAAACTCAGAGCTGCAGACTGGTGTACTGATTAAATTAGTGCAGTGGAAATATATATGATGCTGAATTTACTATGTAAGCTATTTGACTAAAGGTAATTTTACCCCTTCAATTTGTTTATGCCCGCCATGTCTATGACTACTTTCTGAATACCAGCTTTTATTTAAGAATTTACAGTATCATCTTTATTTATACTGTATGTGTACTTCCTACCTGAAGCTGTGTTTGACCCCTCACTTTATTGCATGCACACTACGACAGAAGACCCTTGAAATCAAATGTGGAAGTATAGTAATTTCTCCTCTTTGTTCTTGTCCAGATTCGATGGACCAAGACAGCCGGCAGTGTGTCGGACCGCTTCCAGGACTCCAGCGTGTTCAACGAGACGTTGCACATTGCAAAGATCCAGAGGACCCAGGGAGGTCGCTACTACTGCAAGGCTGAGAACGGCCTTGGATCCCCTGCCATTAAGTCCATCAGAGTGGACGTCTACTGTAAGTGTGACATATAGTACATGGCTGAAAATCGGACATGATGCATCATGGATTTGGCATTTAGATAGCAAGGCTACTTTCCCAACATTTACCAAACATAATTGCCCACTGTTGCTTCACAGTAAAAAGTAGTAATAGTTTTTTGACTTGGTCCTTTCTATGTGGAGTTCGTTATCCATTCGTTATTATGTGTTTTTCCTGGTTTATACAGACATCCAAGTGAAACAGACCGAAAAGGTGCCACTATCAGAGTCTGTATCTGTGATACTGTGCGAATATCTGGCCATGGTGTTGCTTTGTCTTCTGCCTGACTCTCTGTTAGGACACATTCCAGACAGCCATGACCCTGAAAAGGTTTCTATTCACAGTTCCGATTATGCAACAAAGTCAGTCTCTTAGCAATGTGCAGCTGCCAGCAGTTAAATTATAACCAGGATGTATCCTTTAGTATTAAATCAATTTAAAGTCATAGGAAAGAAATTATTATGTGAAGTGCTGGAATATTATTTTCTAAATTTACCCAAAATGATTTAAATTTCTTAAATACAGAAAAATCTAACTGTGAACACAGACAGCTGTAGCACAGACGATTAGTGCGGATCAGTGTGTAACAACATGAAACCTCACAGCCCAATATAGCAACGTTCCATATTTCTGGTGTAAATGAATGAAGTTATTCAGAGGTAGAGCATCCGAAGAGACCCCTGTGCTCTCCTGAGAATGTTAATTAAGCTAAAATGCTCTTATTATCCTGACACAGCCATCGACTGTAAGTGCAACCTCTCTATTTTTAAAGTATCTGTACGAATGCGGCGAACCAAGCAAGGTTCATTAGCATTTATCAAAGAAAACAGTGATTTAGAGTTATTGTTTTTATTGATTGGGCATTGATTGTCTTATTTCACCTAGTGAGTGGTCGAAAGGGTGGCGAGATGGGGGAGTCGCTGTGGTTTCATCACAGCCAGACCCTAAGAAAAACCTTTATATCCAATGACTAATATGTTTTGCAGTCAGCTGTATTAAGAGCCAATCTCTAATCCTGCTGTTCCAGCTTCGACAAATTCTGCAGAGATACATTTAAAATAACGTGTTTGGTTCGAAAGATCTCTAAGCCACCTCCTTAAAATTTTACTTAAGTCTTTGCCCCCTCAGTAACACTAAATCCCTGCTTTCTTTTTCATGCCAAACTGCAAAGTAAAACATGCTATAGCTTTGAAAATTGATGACCTTTCTGCTCCTAATTTGTTGCCAAACATCCAATTTACACTCGCAGAGGTAAGAAAGAGGCAGTGGAGCAGAACATTTTTGCGCTAAATAAGCTGCTCTTGAGCCATCCAGTCCATGACACCTTTCCAGTAAAACCTAGTTCATTTGATTCATTTTTGAGTGGTAACACTGGCGTCTCGCTGTGGTAGTGTAACACTCTGGCAGTTATGGGCTTCTCCTCTCTTCTCCACTCCATATTTTCTTTCCTGTCTGTGTCTTATTCTCCCCCTGTGTGTGTGTGTGTGTGTGAGAGCCACAGCCTTGTATCTATTTATTTGGACTGACATGGGCAGAGGTTGTAGAATTGAAACTTGTTTAGAAAGCTTGTGGAAGGCCTTAGTGAAGCAGCAGAGCAGAGGCAGAATGCGTCTGAGCAGCTGACAGTCAGAGCCTCGTTCCCTCTGTGCACCATTTCACCTTGGCTGCACTAAAGAGCTGGAGGAGCAGACGTGGAAATGAAGCCAGATAACGCACTGGAAAGAGACCGACCTGAGGATAATCAGGGAGTGTGGATACAAACTAATGATTAGGTATTTGGTGATTGATGAAGTTCCAGTTGTTCTATAGGCGTAGTACAGTTTGATTAATTGTGCAGTCCTCAAAAATTACAGACCTGTATATTTGAAGTAACATAGATATATTAATTGATCCCCATGTTGGAGCAGCAAAGAGACAAGAAACAGAAAAACAGATAAAGAACTATTTGAATTAACAAAATAAAAATAAAATAAGAAGGTAAAGAAATAAAAGAACATGAAATATAAGGTAGAAAAGTATACTCATATAGGTACTGTATAAGTAGTACATAATAATAATAAATTACATTGTGTTATATATGTGCAGTACATCTAATACGCACAATGCATATGTTTGTGTCTGTTTGTGTGTATATAAGTATAATATATATTATATATTATATTTTTATAAAAGAAATAGAAAATAATACCTTGATATAGCATATAATATAATATCAAATACAATAATAATACAGTATTATTATTTTTGAATATAAGTAATATAATGCATATCAACAGGCATTCTTTCTTTTTCCCTCTATGCAAATGCATCAAAGGAAGTGAAATATTTTTTTATTTTGCACAGTAGCATTTAAAATTGTTATCCTGATGATGTCCTTGCATCTGGCCTTGTAACACAGTATGTGTGTACTTCATTAGCTAGCATTGTGTTATGTTGCACATCCAGCAAAAGTGCATCATTCCTCCTGAGTAATGTTACAGCTGTCCCCTGGGGGTGAATTTAATTGATGAGCCTCTGCCGTACATTCTATTTTTAGTGGTTTGCAGCTACAATTTTTAATTGGTATTAAAATTGGTGTTTTGGAGCTGGACCTCCCAAAAACAACACCTTGAATTATGTTTGCTGTCTCTTTCAGATGTATCTTGCATTTGTGTCTCTCTTTGTATCACTCTGTTCACACAAGAAAAGAAAAATAAATAACACTGGCAGTTATAATGGACTGCACCGTTACTGCGAAGGGAAGATACTCTACATAACCAGACGCAACGCACCAGCATGTTTTACATTAAGAGGCTTAAAGCCTGAATGATCTTTCTGCAGTGGTTTTCTTTTGAGACCATTTATTTGCTTCTGCTTCCTGGAATCAAGGGTCATGTTTTCAATTTTCAAAATAAACACTAGAGATCTTATTCATATGTGCACTTTTATTAGATCAAAGTGTACTTTCAGAAAACCCCCTTCTTCATAAAGGCAGCCACAACCTGCTTGCCTCAGTTTCAATGAAATTAAATGAAGGCTAAATACATACAGGCAGACATACAGAGAGTAAAAGTTTTCTGCAGAGTTGACTGTGAGCAGCAGATGAAAACAGGAAGGGATAATTAATGGTAATAACTGACCTCTGCAACCCAGAGGAGCTGATATTAGCTATATAGCCAGCTCAAAGCTAACGTATTTACAAAGCTCAGAAGTCCATCTAAGCACATTTTATACCTGCTGACACTTCAGTTGTGTTTGTCGGCAGTTAGGTCTGTGGGGAAGGTCCTCTGCAAAGTTAATAAAGAACCTTGCCCAACTCCTACACTGATCGATTTTAAGCTTAAGATGCTCACTTCTTTTTCCTACAGGGGAGACTTTTCAGTGTTTTCATTTAATTTCAGCTGCATTAATTTTGCTGGAGCATCTAATGTTTCATTGAGTGACTGATCGAGGAGGGCTTAAGAGTTCTGTAGGGGCAGCTTATTGCAGGCTCAGAGTTCATTGGCCATCGCCAGAACAATATATCCAAAAGAAATTTGGCAATGAGGCAACCAGGGGACATTGTCCACCGTCCAAAAAACAAACTATTAGGAAGGAGTTCAAGGGCATGAGATATGTTGTTACACTGCTTTTCACACTTCTGGCTTATTCTAGTAAATACAAAATATTATATATATGTATATATATATATACACAACTAATGTGCTGGTTCCAGACGCACAATATGAGGATTCACATTTGGATAGTATTGAAAATTAATGTGTTTTTGTCCCCACCTGGGACTCTGTGAACCTGTGATGGGCCTTTTTCACAATTTTCCAGCATGTTGTAGACTAAATGTTTAAGTTATTCAAATCATTTCTTTGAAAAAAATAATTGACCAGTTAATCAATACTGAAAGTCACTGTTGCAACCCTAATATTAATCTGCTGTATGAATCCAGCACAACTCCACTTCCCACTGATAAACAATACAATCTTAAAGTCAATTATTGGTGCCCAAATATACAGGTTGTCAAATTAACTCAGAGAGAGTGAAACAGAATGATTTCAGCTAATGGACAAATGGAAAACAAATTGCTGTTCCTTAAACCTGCTCAGTCCAGGTCAGCATTTACTGTACAGGCTGCGATAAAGGACCACTTTAAAACTCACTTTAAAATGGTCTGAACAAGCGTGGCTAAACGGAATAAATTGAGAACACAGAGATGGAGTGCAGAAAAGAAAAAAAAGTAATGCAGTCAAGTTTCCCAGAGTTCACAAGAAAGAAAAAGCACTTTGTGCTGTTTGTCCATATGCTAATGTTGGGCAGATGATATTAATGTTGTCTGCCCAGTCAGCCAGTGCCAGTTTGTCAGTAGCTGTGAAATACTGAGGATCAGGTGGTGCATATATTTTGAGACGCAACCTACTGGACTGTGGATATCGATATCATCTTACTGAAGCTTTCACACACATCTTCACTCTCCCTGATATTTCTCACTGTGCTCCTTCAAAAGAAGGATTAGAATAAGACAATAGTCTGCTTTCTCTGTGTTATCTCTGGGAGGACTTACACAGCCCTTACTCCACACTGTTGGTGCAGAAGCCAGAGAATTTGAATGAGTATATTGTGTGTTTGTGTGTGATTGTGGGCACATGGGCAAGAGTCTGAGCTTGAATCATTTTTTTGGCAACAGCAGCATTCATCTAGATTGAAGACGTGTGAATGTGTGTGTCCATTTCTTTGCGTGCTCATGCGTGCAAGAGGAAACAAAAATAAAGGCTGCCCATTGGGTTCAAGCACATGCTTATGCATGAACACACTCTCCACCGGTGAGGTCCTGACTCACACACACATGTCAAAGGCTTAACTTGTCTTGGCATACGCCTCCTCAGCTGTGCAACGCTGTGCAGCAGCATGTGGTGTGAGGCCGACTTGGGGAAGTGTGTCTGCTTTATGTTTGCCTTCCATCGATGGAGTTCATGAAGGAGCTCGGAGACCAAACAGCAGCTGAT